CAGCTGGAAAGGCAAAACGTTTGCTGGATAAATTGGCGGTTCATTCCACTGTGGCGACCACAGATTAAAAAAAGGGACTAAGCAAAAAATAAAATGAATAAATGAATAAACAGTAACGTTAAGTATCGCTGCATTGTGACGTCATTATTTTTAAGCGTTCAAAAGGCTCCCTGTCAAAATAACATTCCTTACATAAATATTTATATTTTTTTAAGAATTAAAACACCGCCCTGTATAATAGATTAAATGCGGTTCAAAACGATTTATTGATATGACTGATAGATATTGGCAAATGAGTCAGCTTTTCGAGATTCCATAGGGGCATGGCGTGGCTTGACGCGTCGACCACATCGGCCACATTATTTATTTGAGGCAAACGCCATTATTCGGACAAGAATTTGAATTATTTCTTCAAGTGGTAAGTAAATTGCAGCAATTTCACGCATTCGACTCAAATTTACCACATCCCTCGTGTTTTAAGGGATTACCAAACCTATATAGCAACGTATGTGCCAACGTGAGAAACAGGCTCAGCGAGAGAGATCGTTTTAAAATTACAGAGCTAAAAGATGAGCTTAGCTTGATTTAATTCACTCATAAGGGTGAAAGAAAGCCAACATCCACTAGCTGGCTTATAAATTGAGCTTGATTTGTGCTTTTCTCGGGCCTGGTTTGTTTGAAGTGCACCTCAGAGCTGAGTCATGGTTACAGGTTAGGAAATGAGCTGAGGTGGAGTGTTATTTTAAGATTAAAGACAGGAAAGCAAGGAGAGGACTAACACATTTACAGCAAGTGTAGATCTTATCTTGTTTAAACTCAGAATCATTCAATTTGCCAAAGAACATAGTGTACATCTGACTGAAAAGCTACGATCAAATTGATATATTTTGAATGGATTATGGCGACTATTATTGAAAACATTCCCTTACGAGATCATTCAATGCGGTTAAATTGAATTGCTGTTAAATTGGCATACGTTTCTAACGCATATATAAGGTTTCAAATTTGTGTTTTAACATACTAGAGTAATGTGTTTTTACAGAGGAGGTTTTGGATGTCTTTTTATGCCCTCCACAATTTTGAAAATACTGCATTCATGTACATTTGAGCTAAACTCTCTGGTAAAACCTTCAAAATTCAGATGTGAATTAAAAAAGCCTTTACAGATGTATTGGGATTTAAAAAGTGTAACAAAATAAACATAAAAGTGTCATTTTTATGCCTTCTGTACAATAGATTAAAGAAAAAATAATAATAACAGAAAAGCCCAAAATTGACAGGTGTATTTGACTGGAGTATATCTCTCCTAAGTCTTAATGTAACTGTATGGGTGTGTGTGACCATGTAACCTTAATCAGTCCCATAATCCTTCATTGCTAGAAAGTCCACACCCTTGTCTCTGAATGTGAGCCAGTTCTGTCCAGCTCCACTGCCTCCAATATGGAGAATCCATTCCCCTGTTCCACCTCAGCGGGAACCACATGGATCCATTTCAACTCCGTCCAAAGACTCCTCAAAAGTTAGTCTGACCCTAAACGTTCCATATGACAAGCCAAAAACTTTACTAACTGCAATTATTGTGGTTTTTGTTTGTGTGCTCTAGTTGCAGGCATTGTCTGTGTGGAAAATTTGACTAGCTGTGATTGCTGATTAAATTGTTAAATACTCCTTTATGAAAATATGTTTTAGAATTTTTAAAGTAATATTTACATGTTTTTAATATTTCAAACAATACATTGTGTCAAATTTGTGCACCTGCACGGTATAGGTTAAACAAATCTTACTAATAAACATAGTTCAGACCAAAAAGAGGGTTAGAAAGGGAAACAGATTAAATATATTTTACAAAAGTTATCAGATATTGACATAACTTCATAGATAATTGTACAAATGTCATTTGCTCTGTATTATATATTCAGTTCCCTTACTAAAAAAAACTATATACACTTAAACAAATTAATAAAAAGTAATTTGATTGGAAAATTATTTTAATGATAGACCTGAATTCATTATGATATAAAACAATCACTTTAATAATCTCATTATATGTGGTGTTTTTAAGTTGTGTTCAAGAGGATTTAATACAGTGCTGTACAATTTAAAAGGTTTTTTTTTCCTTGTAAAACATAGCATTTTTTGACTACTCTCTTTTACACAGGTTAACAGCCCGTAAATGGCCTTTAAGCCGGCAGTATCGGCAGACCATTTTTGTTCATTTCAATTATATGTTGAAAGCTGTGGTAACTTACTGTCATTCATCATTTTCTAGTTTAATAACTGAAACAGAGAGACTTTTTCTTTTCTTTTTACTTTGACTAAAGCCAATGTTTTATACTTTTTAGAAGGGAATTAAGGATTGTGTGATATATACTGTAATGATGCTGGAAATTCAGCTTTGCGTCATAGAAATATATTACATTTTTCAAGTATATTAAAATAGAAAACAATTACAAAAAAATGTTTTCCCCAATTTCTGTTTAGCGGAAAAAAAAATTTTTTGCAACACATTTCAAAACATAATAGTCTTAATAACTCATTTCTAATAACTGATTTCTTTTTATCTTTACTATGATGAGAGTAAATAATATTTTACTTAAAAATTTTCAAGACACTTCTATACAGCTTAAAGTGACATTTAAAGGCTTAACTTGGTTAACTATGCAGGTTAGGGAAATTAGGCAAGTTGTATAACTATGGTTTGTTCTGTAGACTATAGTAAAAATATACTGTAGCTTAAAGGGGCTAATAATTTCGACCTTAAAAAGGTTTTATAAAAAAAATGTAAAACTGATTTTATTGTAGCCAAAATAAAACAAAATAAAACTTTCTCCAGAAGAAAAAACATTATCAGACATAGTGTGAAATTGTCCTTGCTCTGTTAACTAATTTGGGAAATATTTAAAAAAGAAAAAATATTCAAAGGGGGGCTAGTAATTTTGATCACAACTGTATTTGAAATTGGAATCATATGTACTATGTCTACACGGTATTTAGGGGATTTTTTTCTACTATATATTTTGCGATATCAATATAATTTCACAAAATGAGCATATTTGGAAAGAATTTATGATTTTATATTTATTTAAATGATTTGTAAGGAGATGCATCTGCATAAAATTATTAAGCAGACACATTTTTACAGTCACTATATAAAAAAACAGAAAAAACTTATTGTGCATTTGTGAAGAATGCTTTACATGGGTGAGTGGGATTGACAAACCACCTGTAGAAAGTTCTCCTCTCTCTCTCTCTCTCTCTCTCTCAAAAAAAAAAACTTCCCCTTCTTACTCCAGCACAAACAGTTTCTTTATATAATTAGCACTTCTTATGTGTATTGCTGCTTGTGGAATCGCTGAATGACTTCTCAATTGTAATTTGCATTGGACAAAATCATCTGCTAAATATAGATGTAATATATACAACATTTTATTAAACAAAAGGGCAGATGAACAAAAAAACAGATAAAGGATAAAAATGAAATAACACTTTATGGTTTTTAGTGGAGTATAACTGTATTAAAGTATAGAAATTCAATAACCATATTTAAAGTAATGCTGCATAGACTTTATTCTATTAAATAACTAAACACAATTAATCTTCGTTAAAGCAGGAAACTTGATAATTTCTTGTGCTCAAATGGTTTCAAGTAATTTAAAATCTTAGTGCCGGGCCTTAAAAACACACCCAAATAAAAATCTTTCATATTATTAGAGTTTAACTTTACAACGACTCCACAAGTCACATGTTCTGAACTGTGTTTTTTTTGCATGTCAATTATAATCCCAACATGAAATTTGCTATATCAATGCTGAAACGATATACACTACCTGACAAAAGTCTTGTCGAATATTCAAGTTGTTGGAACAATAAATAATAACTTGACTTCTAGTTGATCAACTGGTATCACAAGTGGCTTATTTGAAAGGTAAAGGCCTCTAGATTACGCTTATTTTACCAAAATAAAATATGATCATACCTTGATTTTCAATTATTTAATTAGGACAGTAAGGTCTGATATATTTGGATTCATCTTCAATGCCTTCTTCATCTTTCCCTAGACATGCTTAATATTCATATCTAGTGACTGGGCTGGCCAATCCTGGAGCACCTTGACCTTCTTTGCTTTCAGGAACTTTGATGTGGAGGCTGAAGTATGAGAAGGAGCACTATCCTGCTGAAGAATTTGCCCTCTCCTGTGGTTTGTAATGTAATGAGCAGCACAAATGTCTTGATCCCTCAGGTTGTTGATGTTGCCATCCACTCAGCAGATCTCTCACATGCCCCCATACTGAATGTAACCCCCAAACCATGATTTTTCCTTCACCAAACTTGACTGATTTCTGAGAGAGTCTTGGGTCCATGTGGGTTCCAATAAGTCTTCTGCAGTATCTGGGATGATTGGGATGCAGTTTAACAGATTAATGATTAATCACAAAAATGTACCTTCTGCCACTTTTTCCAAATGATCAATTAGAAGTCAAGATATTATTTGTTGCTCTTACAACTGGGATCGACGACAAGACTTTTGTCAGGTAGTGTATTGTGCAGCCCTAACATGTACTAATGTATAAATAAATAATTAATGTATCCTTGGTAAGCATAAGGCCGCTCTTTTTTTTGACAGACTTAAAACTTTTGACCAGTAGTGTATATAAAATACTTCAAAGCTGTTCAATCAACCCCAAGTTAATGGCTTCAAAATCTGTTCCAAGATTTTGTATATTTAAAAGTAATAGGAACACATGCATAAGGGCTTTATGACTAAATGTCTTTCTGTATATGCAGACACTTAGCATGGAAACTATGCAAAGACTGATGCGAGCATGCGGTGGTCTCAGTTTCATCATGAGTGTTGAGAGTGATGAAAGTCCATGTGTAACCGGAGCGCTCAGGTTTAATTTAGCCATGGCAGCGGTGCAAACACGTCTTCATTTGAGACGCCACACAGACCGCTGACAGCAGCACTCAGCATCTCTTACAAACAACCCAGTGACACTTCACAGTCTCCCAAAATATTTATTATTATTCATATATTTCATGTAAAAGACCCTGCTCTCAGAGAGAAAGGCACATTCGATAGCAAATACTCATTCAGTTTCACAAACACAGAAAAACAGGTCTGATGTGTGCACCCATATGCAGTTGAGACATATTTTGCTACTTTTAATGAAGAAACCTGGCTTATTATGACATGTCCTTCCAAACTTGTGTGACTTTCCTTTGTCTGTGGAACACAAACTAATATTCCAAAGATTTTTTTTCCCATAAAATAGGGCTGGGCGATTTGGCCTAAAATCAAAATCACGACTAATTGAACATTTTAACTCGATTTTGATTAATGAATGATTATTTTATTTTTTTTTTTTTTGCCCTCATAGTTCACTGACAAGTTTTGTACAGTAAAACTGCTCACATATTACAAGTGAGATAGTTTTGAATGAAAGTTCTATGATTATTTACTGAACATCAATGTTGAATTGAAATTAAAGCACACATTGCCTAAAATTAACAATCGCGTGACTCCCTACGTGGTAGGAAAAGTAAACGAAAAAATCGAGCTGGAAAAATTAGATCAATTATAGGTTCTGAATGTTGATTTCAATTACTCTTCGATAAATCGCCCAGCCCTACTGTGCAATCTCTGACTTTTAAAGGCGTACTATAAGTTACTAAACCTAAAACTATCTAGTTGTAATTTTGTAAGTTAAGTTAAAATAAACATTTGACGGATCATGATAAAAACATTTATATATCAGCTAGAAACAGTCATTTTTATAGTGTCATAAAAACTAAAATGTAAATTAATATAAACCAGACATATTTTTTAAAAAATATGTATATTCCACTTATATTTAATATATATAATATATATATTAGTTTTTTTATTTGAGGTATTTTAGTATTATGCATACTGTAATTATGTACTGTTATAATATTTAATAATAATTTGAATCAATATTTATAAATAATTTAGAATATTTTTTAAGTGTTTATATATTACATTTTAATTTTTAACTTGCCTTGAATGTGCTTATAATTTGTGATTAATTTACTGTCTCTACCTTTCATTTCTTAGGTAAAAAAAATTCTATCATTTTTTTTTTTTGTAAATTTGTTTTTATACATTTTTTTACATTTCCAATTTTTTTGTACATTTCTATTTAGTGTTCATTTATTTGTTGTGCTATTTTAATTTAGGTTTTTTTAAACATTTTTCATTTAGCTGTCATTTTTCTGTTCTATTTTTGATTTTGACCACAACTTTATATTTAATTTCTGTTTCATTTTAGTTAACAAACACTTTTAATAGTTTTACACTCAAAAAATGATTTTGATGCTTGTTCAAACTACTTGTATAAAGGATCCGCAACAACACAATTCTTGAGATCTTTTTAAGTCAACTTAGTTGTTGTATATTTAATCCACTTAAACTTGTTAGGTTAACTTAATTGATTTGTGTTGGGACAATATAAATACATTTTGTGAAACCCTGCATTTTTTTTACAGTGAAATTAACAGTAACAAGACCGACTTTCAATGTATAGAAAAAAACCAGACACTTTTAAAACAACATCTTTTGTGTCCCACAGATGAAAAGAAAATCACAGCAAAAACAACCTTTTAACTTCCAAAACTCATACAGGCTGTTTATTTTAAATCTGCCGACATCTAATTTGATTGTGATTGTTCTGCCTGCTTCTAAGTTTAAAAAGTTCAGAGGGGCGCCGGCCTTTTGCTGAAGGAGTCTGGGACTTTTCTTTCCTCGCTAAACTGTCACCATTGAGCGTGCTGAAAGAAACCCACTCCAAATGAAATGCCCTGGAACCCTTTTGCTACTCCTCGAGTGTACCTTATGCTAACAGAAGGGGAGGAAAAGTGGCACACAAACACAGTCCTTTCACAAGGCAGAGACTTAGTGAAGGGGAACAGTTTGGCAGACGGTTTTTACTGCGTAATTGACTCTGGTGCTTTCAGAAGACCGCTGATCTCAGTGACACACACCTTTACACATCGCTTTCCCAAACACAGGGCCTATATTTTTGTATATTTTCTTTTACAATCCTTGGCAATGTGAAATCAGCTTTCAGTTGTGTAGAATGTAAATGTGTGTGTATGTGAAAATGTGAGTGTGTTGCAGTAGGTGGAGCGTCACAGTCTGTGTCCTGTGTTCACTTCATTAGAGTTTAAGCATCCAACAGGGAGCCAGGACTGTTTTTCACATTACAGCACCTGCGATTCCCATTACATACAACATATAGTGCACTACCCACACACACACATTCACGTACAGCATCTCATAAAGCAACACATCTATACAGTCACGCATACAGCACACATGCACGGTTATACAACACATACTGTATATACATTGCATATGTACAAGTACACGCTTCTTTTAGCACTTTTTAAGGCATTAAATACGCATTTTTTTGAGTTGAGCATTCTTATGTAACCCACCAGTCGTACTGCACCCATCCCGTTCTGAGCTGGGATCGAGCTAGTGACTCTTTGTATAGGAGTTGGTTGCTCTAACAAGGAGGCTAAAGACCATAGCTGCTAGTGACTGTTGCTAAAGCACTTTTTGAGGTCAGAGGAGTGAGGTTTACCTGCATTGCACTTTGCTAGCTGGCCTCTGTCACAATCACCCACCTAAACCTCACTCCCATCCCGGATGACCCCCCAAATGTAACCTATCGGTCCTACTGCACCCATAACGTTCTGAGCTGGGATCAAACCAGTGATTCTTTTATGGGAGTCGGTTGCTCTAACAAGGAGGCTAAAGACCATGGCTCCTAGCGTCTGTCACTAGAGCACCCTTTGAGGTCAGAGGAGTGAGGTTTACCTGCATAGCACGCTGGCCTCCGTTACACTTATAGTTATTGAAATTTGCATGTTTATTATACTGTAGATGATTAACCTTTGCACCTTTTTCAAATTCTCATGTCTTCATATTTTTTTAATAGAAATAACTTCTCTGCGTCTTTCAACGTCATCTTGTTTGATGATGTGCTCATCTGTGCAAGGGGTGGGGCAACCTGTCAATCACATAAGATCATCCAATAGCAAGCCACCATCATCCACTCAATTCCCAGAGAACTAAACCAAGCCCCGTCCAACATTTCCTCTTGTTTGAGAAGCCATTTCACTTGGAAGTTTGCCACATTACGAAAACAAAGGCGATTTCCAAGATCTTCCATTGCGGGTCAACTTTAAGTACTGTGTTCTTTACATCACACAAAAAACTACATGTTAGATTAAGCACCAGTATGAGTCTCATTTGTGTGGCACAAGCCAACAATTACTCATCTTGGGCCCTGAACTGATCTTTCGTGTGTTCCTCTTGCAATTTAAATTCAGACATGTCTCCTACAAAGGTCCCATTGGGTTTCACATGGTAACCGGAGGGTGTTTGTGATCCCCGGTTATACTTGCCACACTAGCCACACTGGTTGGTGGAGGGAACGGAGACTGTAACGGCCGGTAGCCTGCTTGAGTGGGGTCTAAAAAGGCCGCAGCCGGAGCTACCGGGTGGGCGAAACCGATGTATTGAGGATGCAGGAACTGGCCTTGATGAGGAAGAATTTGAGTGGCCTGCTGACAATTTAGTACTGAGAAGTTGGTGGGCATGTTTACATACACACTGGCATCTGGCGGAAGGCAACAGGATGCCTGGGCTCGCAGCAGAGGAGCTGGAGCGGGACGGGGAGCGGCAGGAGGAGCTGAAGAGCTGGAGGAAGTGGCTGTGCTGGACTGGCGGGACGACGAGCCTCGAGAGGTGCCAGTGCTGGCCATCATGGGAATCGTCTCCAGGACGCGGGCGCTGCTGGACGCTCCTCCTGAACCGCCGCCTGATGTAGGCTCCTGTTTGGGACGCAGACAGCGGCAACAGCATACAGCAACAACAGAGCCCACCAGAACGAATGCCACAAAAACTGAGCCGACGATCAGAAAGGGCACGTAGATGGGTACTGCAGAGGGAAAGCAAAAAGAAAATGGAGTTTTGTTAATTTATCGCATAAATAAATTGTATTTTTCATAAGAATATGGTTGCCTGAGCACTACCATGTTGTTTTCTCCTTGTAACAACTTGTCAGCTCAAACACATTTCTACCACTTGTATTTAGATTTTTTTCGAGACATTTTGTTTTATTTCATCATCACACGCTACATCACTTTCACAGGAGTGCTTAGTGCAATACATACATAAAGGAACACTACACTTTTTGAAGATAGGCTCATTTTACAAGTCCCCTTGAGTAAACAGTTAGGTTTTAACATTTTTAACATTCAACTGATCTCCATGTCTGCTGGGAGCTTAGCTTAGCATAAATCATTGAGTTGGATTAGACTATTAGCATCTCACATTTAAAAATTCAAAAAATCAGTTTTGACTATTTTCCTATTTAGGCTGCAAATTTTTGTAGTTTATCTACATCTATATCTATCTATCTATATCTTGTACTAAGGCATATGGGAAATTTTCTAGGCTGATATGGATCTAAACCAGGGATGCCCAAATTTTTTCTTATAAATGGCCAAAAATCAAAATTGATTAGCCAGTGGCCCAAAGTAAATATAGTTACTATGCGTAATTTCCTTATTTATTTAATAATATTTTAAATAACTAGAAAAACATTTCTTTATATTAACTTATACAATATATATTTTTTTTACATTTTATAATGAACTTATTACAGTAAAAACAATCTCATTTATAACAGAATGGAGTTACACTAGTTTTTGCCTTGATTTGCTCGCTGATGTCTTCTTCATGGTCTTCTATCCAACGAGTGGCAGTATTTACATTTTTAAATGTTTACTCAGCAATAAAACATTCATTCATTCATTTTCTTTTCGGCTTAGTCCCTTATTAACTTATTAACCGCCAAATTCTACAGCATATGTTTTATGCAGCGGATGCCCTTCAAGCCACAACCCTTAACTGGGAAAAGCAATAAAACAAACAAACAAAAAATGTTATGTCAAACTAGAAATGACAATCTCTGTTAAAGGCATTCTCCCTAACCCACTCCTCAGATTAGATGGTGGGCCAAATCATGGGTTACAATGGGCCAACTTTGGCCCGTGGGCCCTACTTTGGGCATCTCTGCTCTAAACTATACTCTCATTCTGATGTAATAATCAAGGATTACTAGCAGGTTTGCTGCTGTACCCTGAGTGCAGCAGGCGCAAGGATATTATGCAGCGTTGAGACTATTTTTAAGTCCTGCATAATATTAAGGAGAGTTACGACAGACTTGGAGATTGGCTGAATGGATTCATAAATGATGAAACTGAACTATTTATCTCTAGGGACATATAAAAATAGCCTACTGCAAAAAAAGTGGAGTATTCCTTTAATACTGAACAAACCCAAGTTACGCAGCTTATGAGAATACAGGAAAGTAAGCAAGCAAGTGAAAAGAATGTTGATGGACTACGATTTTGACTGTAATTAGAGTGTTTTGGTTCAACGCAGTGTTGTATGACTACCTTGTTTTTGTGAGCTTTCTCACAACACTTCCCATAACTTTCTCATGTTTGCTCAGTAGGCAGAATGTTTGTACACATTTGACCACATTAGTTTACTCTACAGAATAATCCGGTCTAATGCACTTTCCACTACCTCTGGAAGTGGATTAAAGTAGACAAGCTCAAAATGTTTTAGACCCTGCTTACACCGGTATTTGGAAACCTCACTTGTGAATAGATTGACAAAATCAGCAGTTCTAAATAGGATCCTAAATAGTCCAAGCAGACACACAACGTCGTAAGATGTTAATTTCAGGTTAGATTCAGGTTGTGATGTCAGGTGACTAAAATTCAGTGTTCAGTAGACCAACATCATTTGACAATGATATTTGGTTGATTTTTGGTTGTGTTGGAAAGTGACCAAATTCCAACATCGAGCAAACATCTTACACCCCATTCACACAGGGCATCAACAACAGTGCTTCCCATTAACTTTGAATGGGTGACGTCAAGCGTTGCCGAACTGCACTGTGGATCCGTCTGCGCCGCGTTAGTGGCATTGCTCACTGCAGAAGTTGGGACTTTATCAAATTTTCAAGCGCCAACGAAAGTGCCAGCCAATCAGATCGTTGTATGTAAATACACCAGCTCAGACAGTAGCCGATTGTGGACTAATTTCATTGGCTGACGCTGCTATGACTATCACGTCAGCCCCAACTTCAGACACACCCTCTGTCAAGCGTTAACACTGAAGCCCGTGTGAATCGGGCGTTAAACCAACATCCTATTGACGTCAAATACAGACATTTATTTGTCAGAAAAATCCCATGTCTGATAGATGTCATAGTGATAACGTGCACATAACATCAAGGTGTACCATCATTAAATGTTGATATTTGGCTAATTTTAGGTTGGACGTTGGGTTCTAACGTCAACTCAATTTTCATTTCCAAACAAAATGCAACGTCCCCTTTACGATGGTGTACAATGTCAATCTGACATCATGTTGACGTCTTGTGTCTGCTGGGGTAGTTTTTAGGTGCGTTGTTGATGTTTCTGAATGAGTTCTATAGTGATTGTTGATTTGTACTCATTTGTAATGATTGTTTATTTTGTACATGTGTGTGTTTTTATCACATTTGTGATCATTAGTCACAGTCTAGAGCAACTAGGAGGTTGTTTGTTCACTTAAATATAACCAAATATTTTGTTTTGCCCACTTTATCATCAGGTGAATATCAGGTCAGTTAGAAAGTAATCTCTTCAACAAACAAGCAGCAAGATGTCAGGTATCATTCATAAAGTTTAATACCTTTGATTTTTTTTTTTTTTTATGTGTTGCATGTAAGACAACCTTCATAATGTATTTAGGCCATCCAGCTGCATTCACTGCCATTGATATTAGAAAGTATAAAATTACAGTCTGTATCTGGCCTCCCTAATGACGAAAATAGAGAAAAGTGCTGGGTAGCAGGACTGGGGGAGTTTTGTTTGTGTATAGCCCTTGAGCAATGTTTTTCTTCTCTTTAGAAAGCATGTATCCTTTTCAAACTCCAGTAGCATCTGAAACAATTACTTCCACTGCCACAAGCAAGACTAGGATATCAGTAGTGGCTTGAGCTTAATGTAACTTCGACACCCTTAAAATGAAGAATACTTTTGGAAGCCTGAAGCAACGCAGAAACCTGTTGACGTATTATACAATGCTGCATGCATGTGTGACTTTAAATACGAGAACTGAACGCTCACATGCTCACAGATGGGTAGCCCACGTGAGATGAAGGGATTTGGAAAATGAAAGACGAGATGTTGCACCATTGACTTGTCCCCAGGGGTCCGGGGCCCCTCATTAACACTTATTAAGACAGTTTTGATCTGCTCTAATCTCCTGCAATCGGTGGTGACCGCACTGCCCTTGCTGCCTGATCGTGTGCTTGGGTTTTTAGACAGGTAACTCTGCATTAAAAGCAACCTTTATAGCTTAATTAGACATCTAATTCGGCCGGAGGAGGCTTTCCGAATTTCACTTTGTTGTATCTGGTCAGGATCTCTCGCCCTGTATAATTGAGCTGAATCAAATCATGTGTAATAGCCATGCAAACTGGCTTTTGTTTTTAATATAGGTGCACTTACAGAGCTGTAACCTGAAAACACAGCCTCTGTTCAGCGATTTATTATAACAATATTAAATCAAGGACATGATTGCTGCGCAGAATGACAGGGGAGTCATTTTCACAGGAGCTCTTTTGTGCTTTGGTGGTTATTACTATAACAGCGGAATTTCTGAGTAAATGACCTGAATTTTGGCAAGCTTTGAGTTTGCGTGCATGTTTTCAAAATCAGTGCGTTTTTGGCAGTTGAAACACCCTTTTTTTTACAGTACAAACGTGTGTGGAAAAACAATAGACAATCTGTTATACTACAGGTTATTCGATAGATTTATTGCTCCCGAGTGACATTACACTTTTTATATTTCAAAGTGTCATATGAGATGGAAGGTGACACCATTTTTCAATAGCTTTAATAGTTGAATCATGTAGAATATGTAGTTTTATGTGTCTTTCAGAAGTTTGGTTTGATTAAAGTGAACTTTGGTGGGATTGCTCTGTTAGTGTGGTTCTTTTATTTATTGTAATGACACCGGGACAATTATTGCTCACGCTTATCTGCAGTGTTTTCTTCGTGACATTTTTTGTCATTGATGATCAAGTGATTTTCATAAAAAAACATTAGATGGTGCTAAACAGAAATACCTCGGTATAGGGATGGGTACCAAAACTTGGTATCCGTGCCAAAATATAAAAAAACAAAGTATCGATAAGCTCTGACGTTAACGGTTCTGCTATCGGTACTGGTGAATTATTGCTGAATAAACATTACTTACAATAGCAAAATTTAAATTACCAACCTTTTCTAATTTGCGATATTCGGCTGCACAGTTGGCGATCTCACATGAGCAATGCTCATGTTTTCGCGCAATAGTACAACGGCGAGCACGTCAAGTATGAAAGCCTTCACAGTTCTTGGCTGTGCGTGCGAGCTCAGTGGAGGCTCGCACTAAGCGCACACAAAGATCGCGACACAGACTCACACACAGCTTGTAAGCCTGGAAGAGAACCAAACGGATTGTATTTCCCATGTGAACAGCAACAATGCAACAAAGTTGTTTTCTTGTATAAGCAGAAATGAAAGCAATCTGGCAAAGCATCTTTTAAAAGATTTTTTAACTGCAGAGAGCACAATAAACCAAGAAAGATCGTAAAGTCTGCCAGAGACAAACATATTGATATTTCTCCAGAAGAAAAAAAGTTTAAAAACTGAGAGTCATTTTTCTTCCAGCCATTGTACATTCTTTTACAAGATTTTTTAAATTTATTTGTTTTACAATTATTAATTTTTGCTTTATTTTACATAAAAAATGTAATTAATTCTGTTAAATTTTTTATATTTTTTATTTTAAAAAAACCCATACAAAAAGTACCAATAAGAGAACTGT